AGAGAGAGAGAGAGAGAGAGAGAGAGAGAGAGAGAGAGAGAATCCACACTTTTATGAGAAGAGATTGATGATAATCCTTTAGGGCTATTGTGTTAGTATCTTGTTCATTGGTTTGTTAATGCTTTGGGAATTAACGTTTTACTTAGTGCCAAGTTTACATTAGACTAGGGTTAGGGCTTATTTTCACGTGGTATGAGGGCTATTGTGGAATGTGCAGTCTTATTGTTACGATCCTGGCCAATTTTGAAGTATACATTCATCAGAAAGTACAATGCCGTCCAATTGCAAAAAGAAATGAATGAACTTGAGAGGAGAGAGAGGGAAACAAGAAGAAGAAGAAGTAAGAAAGAAGAAGAAGATGATGCAGCCCAGCATAGACCAAAGATAAAGATCTTCTTCTTCGCCAACCAATCTCCTCCTCTCTTATTCAAACAAGAAATAACAATAATAATGTTGAATGGCTGAACCAGAATCAATGTCTGAATCCCACTTCTACTGCAGGCACAACATGAGGTCCACCATAGCCATAGCCACCCTTCTCCTTCCTCTCACATGTAGGCCGAGGCTATGGCGAACTACCGAGGTCTCAACCCTCATGTCCTAAGGACAACCCAAAGCAGCTATGTCGCTGCCTCCCTGTGCAAAGGACAACGCAAAGCAGCTATGCCGCTGCTCATTAGGACGCCATGCATGTCTCTGCCCCAAGCTTCCTTGGTGCAGCACTACCCCCAACTGGGGCCTTCCAGATGCAGCGCCTAACAAGGTGATGAAGATGGTGTCCACCATAGCCAGGTAGGTACCTCGCCACTCTCCTCCTTGATCCCCTTCTCCCTCCTCCTCCTACGGGTAGAGCTCCACCATAGCCAAGGTGGAAGCTCCCGGCTTCTTCCTCCCAGCAGCGCTGTAGTAGCCAGCGCTCCTCCAGCCACCATAGCCAGTGTGTCGCCAAACTTGCACACTGAAGAATGAGGCCGGGCTCTTCCCTCGGCCTCTTGACATAGCGGCCTACTTGCCTCCTGGGCGGTGACTTCCAGGCCGCTTGGCCTCCCAAGCAACCGGTACCTCCTCCCTTTCGGAGGGAAACATCATAGCAGACTCTGATATTGCCCGTACAGGCTCAAGACTCAGACTGGATGGACTGGTACCGGCCTAGACCTAGCCTACCGCTACTGGGCCTCTAAAAATGCCAACTTTGTCTTGTTCTGCTCGGCCTCGAGTACCTGGCACATCTCCTGCTACTGGGTGCGCTACCGGCCTACCTGCTACTTGAGTGTTTTTCCGCTACTCTAAGTGTCGCGGGCCTCTGGCTCCGCCACTTGAGTGTTTTCCCCTGCTGCAACCCTCAATGCCACGGCCACAGGTAAGTACAAGCCCTATGGGCCTGCCAAACAAGGAGGTACCCTTGCGGGTCACACACACACTCATGCCGAGAAGCACTCAGACAGGCACTCAGGTCAACAAGCACGCACACACACAGACTTAGAAAACTCAGCAGAATGCGGGAATCTTAGCAAGGCATCCATTCCATCGGCAGAACTTCAGAAATCAGCAGTGTCTGTGTTATGGCGGGTCATTACACTTATGGTGTTTTCACAAATTCTAATCTCTTATCACATTAGGGTTGATGTGCTGGCATCTCGTCGATTGTTTTGTTGCTTTGGGGATTAACGGGTTGATTAATGCCGAGCTTACATTAGACTAGAGTTACGGCTTATTTCCACGTGATATTAGAGCTATTGTAAGATAGGTGCTTTTATGGCGTTTTCAGATTTTTGTCTGATTAAGAAATGGGTCAAAGTAGTAGAAGAGAAGACAGGAGGAAGGGGTTGCTCTTTTTGCCACAGTCGTGGCCCTGGCTTTGCTTGGCCGGAGAGCCTTGCTCAGCTTGCGTGCTGCGGCGAACTTTGTGAGCGACGCCGGGCCCGTTTCCCGGCACGACAATAATCGTTAAAAAAAAAAAAAAAAAAAAAAAAAAGTAAAATTTGAAAACTAATAAAAAGTAAAAAACTATTAAAAACTTTATAAAAGTAATGAATTATTAATCATTTAAAAAATGGGTATGTCTAATAAGTTATTATAGAGATAGACCATGTCCGGACCCCCCGAAAAAAACAAAACAAAAACGGGCCTGAAAAACCCCCAAAACAATTTTTGGGGGCTTGGCTCCGCAGTGGGGAAGGAAGCAAAGGTGACACACGAAAACACTGCATAGTAGCAAAGCAATCAATTAGTCTCTGCTCGGAAATTGCCGTACAAATTAGCGCAAAACCGCCACCAACATCAGTCCACTGCACCCAACAACCGCCAATCTTACCATCCTTCCGACAGAGTCACGCACAGCGCTGTTGACTCCTTTCAGTGAAGGCACCGAAGAGGAGTCGAACCGACTATCAGCCAGTTAATATACCAAAAAGCGAGATCACATGCCTGGTCAGACAAAGATCTGGTTCACTAGCACACAAATCAAACCAATCTAAAAAAACATACAAGCCTCCTACCATCCCCTAGCAGTCGTTGTCGGGTCTCAAGTCCTCAGGACCCGTACAAGACAAGCCTGTCGGACAGACCAACCGCCCAGCCGGCCGACTCCCTGGCTGACCTTTCCTTAACACCGGACTCGTCTCGAAAAAATTGTCCACAAGTGGGAGTGGTCCCAGGTCCCACGTTCACCCATTTTCAAATTCAAACTTCAGACAAAAATCAAAACTCAAAACTTCAAAAAATCAAATAAAAAATAGAAAGAATTACTCGCTACAGGTGGGAGTTGTCCCAGGTCCCTCCTCACTTCGTTCCGACTACTTAGTCCTTCAGTTTACTGTGTTCGACTTCTCATACACACTCTCCCGCTCTTTTTTTTTTTTTAACACACCCTCGCCATTGCTAGTGGTGCTGATAAGAGCAGACACCGCTAGCACCTGGGGGGAGGCCCCATCTATTGGTGGGGGGCATCACCTGCTGGAAAACGGGTCCAGCGTCCCATGTACAAACTGAATGTTGGGATACATCCAAAAAAGGTTGCGGGGGGGCCTGCCAGCATTGATTACCCTGGAATCCAGGGGATTGACTGAGCAGGGCCTTAGAGAGGAGGAACCTCTTCACCCTGGAGCCGGCGCCAGATACCTGCAACTGCACACTAATTCCTCCCACCCCTAACTAGCCCCCCCTACTCACTGACCCAGAATGTTCAAGCTGCCTGCAATGACAGGCTGCCAGCATTGACTGCCCCAATCCGTAGAAGGGGGGGGTAACTGGGCAGCAAGATGGCGAGACGGAAATGGAAAAATTGGGTATTTAGCAGAAGAAAGAATAACCTCCCTGGGGGGCTCCGGAGGGCCATTTCTTATCTGAGTATGAGTGAGCAGAAGATGGGTAACAGAATTCCTCAGTCAGGACAGGATCTCTGCCAGGGAGAGGGCATGGGGTGGGAAGGGGTCGAGGAAGTCCGAGGGGGGGGGGAGTGGGAATGAGGGTTCAATGTTTGTCCAGTCCTTAAAACATAGGCGTCATCTGTTCCAAATCCCATTGTCCCTTTCCCTTGTCTCCGCTCCATTCTACTTTCGCAATCCATCCTTCTCTCTCCCCTCCCACCCAGTCTGTGCAAAATGTTGTGATCCGTCTCCTGACATCTCCTACCTGTTTACGGAGGTGCTTTTGTGTCTAGCCATCTCTGTGTGAGTTCAAAGTG